CTACCTTCCAGCAGCAGCTGCGACACGTTTTTGGCACCCCGGACGTTCGATCCGCCGTCGCGAAGAGGACACTTGATACTCGCCGACAACATCCCGGTGAATCGTACACTTCATACATCGAGGATGTCCTCGCACTGTGCCGGCGTGTCAATCAATCCATGCCGGAATCGGACAAAGTGCGCCACATATTGAAAGGCATTGGGCCTGTTGCCTTTAATGCACTCGCGGTGCAAAACCCAGCTACCATCGCTGATGTCGTGACGACATGCCAGCGCCTTGATGCGCTGGACTCCGTTCGCCTCCAACCAGACATTGGCGACCACCACTCCACGTCAGATGGCCACCTGCGCGACCTTATCCGGGATATTATACGCGAAGAATTGCGGTCCATGGGCTTCACACCTCCTACACCACGACCTACACAGCCTTCGGGAATGCCCTTACGTGACATCATCAGGGAGGAACTTACAACGCTGACCGGTGTTGCGCCCGTACAGCCACATGCTTCACGCCCCATAACCACGTACCCTGAAGTTGCTGCCGTGCCTCCCAGCGACGCCCACACGACATTGCCGCGTCCATCCTACGCGTCAGTCGCTGCCGCTCCCCCGGTCAACTACCATTCCGTACCCCCTGACCCTCCGGCCCACCTGACCGCGCTATCTACAGGTGCCCCGAATGTCTTCTATTCCCCACCGTGGCGCTCGTCTCGCCCTGTTTGCTACTACTGTGGCTATCGCGGCCACATATCTCGTTTCTGCCGAAAGCGCCAGCAAGATGAGCGTCGGAACGACGTGCGTGAACGGGATTTGTACGCCGGGGCGTCTTATAAAGGTCGGCGTTATTCGTCTCCCCCGCACCGTTCTCCATCTCCTCCTGCATCGACTGCACCACGAAACAGCCGAAACACGAGACGCCGCTCGCCTTCGCCCTTCCGCCGTTCCACTTCTCCACTTCGGCCCGCCTCATTCACCTCTGAAATTCATTCGGAAAACTAAGTGATGCAGTTTGTGGAAGAAAAACTGCATTCGGAATCAGAAGTGAAATTCCTCCATCGGGCCCGTGTAACATGGTTTCTGTGGAAGTGGAAGGAGTGCGAGTCGATGCTTTGGTGGACACAGGTGCGACATTGTCTGTGATACGTGCTGATTTGTGTGAACACTTAAGGAAAGTAATGACGCCTTACGATGGCCCCACATTAGTTGCTGCCCAGGGGAACGTCATTCGCCCTTCCGCGTTTTGTACTGTGCGTGTTTTCATCGACGGCATCCGCCATCATGTCCAGTTTGCTGTCCTGTCCCTCTGCTCTCACCAACTAATTTTAGGGTGGGATTTTCCATCATCTGCTTCCGCGGCGATTTGTTGTGGACAACGCGTCGTTCACCTTGCTGACACGGATTACATGCTTGACGACGACAATCAGAGGCCACTTCGTCTGGTCGCTGGCAAAGACATCGAACTGCCGCCACTACAAGAGCAAATTGTCAGCATTACGTCCAATGACATCTATCACGGGGATGTATTGGTCTCACCGTCACCACTTTGCGTTCGCAAAGGTATAGTTCTTCCGTCCGGTGTCGTTCGTTTTTGCAATGGCTCGGCACTTGTCACCGCTGTCAACTCTACACCGGAGAAGATCTTACTGCCACAGAGCACTACTGTGGCCCATGTTGCTAACTTCGAGCCTGTATTTGTCACGCCACTTCAGGCGATCACATCCAAAGAACCTTGCCTCGGTGAGCATGTTTCTTCCTCCGCCTTTACCACAGCTATCAGCAGCGAACTGACATATTCACAGAGGCAGCAGCTGCTCGCATTGTTACAGAAACATGCAAATTCATTCGACATTTGCTCGTCTAAGCTGGGCCGCACTAATACTACAGCACATCGAATTCAAACTGTTGGGACATCTATCGTACACCGCCGACCCTACCGCGTGTCTCTAACTGAAAGAAAAATTATAGAAGAAAACGTTGCGGACATGCTTAAACGGGAAGTCATCCGTCCTTCATCTAGCCCTTGGTCGTCTCCCATTGTTTTCGTCCACAAAAAGAATGGCTCTGTGCGTTTTTGCGTGGACTACCGGGCGCTCAATAAGATCACACGCAAGGACGTGTACCCTATGCCACGCATTGACGACGCCCTTGATTCCCTACAAGGCGCGGAATTCTTTTCAAGCATCGACTTGCGTTCTGGGTACTGGCAGATTCCCATGCATGAAGACGATAAGCATAAAACGGCGTTTGCGACCCCCGACGGGCTATATGAATTCAACGTGATGCCTTTCGGGCTCTGCAACGCACCCGCGACTTTTGAGCGCATGATAGATACCGTGCTGCGCGGTTTGAAATGGAAAAGTTGCTTGTGCTACCTGGACGACATTATTATCTTTTCGTCAACGTTTCCTGAGCACCTAGAACGACTGGATCAAGTTCTGACGTGCCTTGCCGGCGCCGGGCTTCAAATAAACACTAAGAAATGCTCTTTCGCTAGCAAATCTATCAAGGTCTTAGGACATGTCGTTAGCAAAGATGGCATCCGGCCCGACCCTGACAAGATTTCTGCAGTCCTTCACTTTCCGCGTCCCGAAAAACCAAAGGAGCTTCGCAGTTTCCTTGGCCTCGCCTCCTATTTTCGCCGGTTTATACAGAACTTCGCTTCTATTGCTGCTCCATGACACCAACTACTCGTCTCGAACGTCCCCTTTCTGTGGTCTCAAGAATGTGAAACGGCATTCGAGCTGTTGAAGCGGTCACTCACGTCTGAACCTCTGCTCTGCCACTTTGACGAAGCCGCACCGACTATCCTTCATACCGACGCTAGCGGCCTTGGTATAGGAGCCGTTCTTCTACAACGCGACAAGTCTTCCCTAGAGAAAGTTGTTGCATATGCCAGTCGCGTACTCACCCCTGCTGAAAAGAACTACACTATAACTGAGCAAGAGTGTCTGGCTGTGGTTTGGTCGGTCCAGAAGTTCCGTCCCTATCTCCACGGCCGTCACTTCACAATCGTTACGGACCACCATGCCTTATGCTGGCTTTCTACACTGAAAAACTTGTCCGGACGCTTGGGTCGGTGGATACTACGCTTGCAGGAGTACGACTTTGACATAACTTACAAGTCAGGCAGAAAACATCGAGACGCCGATGCTTTATCTCGTTGCCCGCTTCCGACTACCCATATCAGCGTTGGTGAGAACTCAAACGCCACATCTACCAAAGCTCATACGCTCGCATCAATAACGCAACCCTTTTCGGACGAACAGGCAACATTTATCTCCCACCAGCGGTCCGATTCATACTGCAGACGCATGATGGACCACATTTCGGGAGTTTCTCATCCACCAAACGCACGACTCCGTCGTCAACTCCTGCACTTTAAGCTGGACAATGGGGTTCTCTACCGCCACGTCTACCACCCTGACGGTCAGCGCTGGGTTCCTGTACTGTCACGCTCTCTTCGACTTCAGGTGCTCGAAGCCTTCCACGACGACTTGACTGCTGGTCATCTTGGTTTTAAAAAAACTCTTGACCGCATTCGATGTCGTTATTACTGGCCTGGCCTTTCTTCTAGTGTAGCGCGGTACGTCGGTTCCTGCTACCCATGCCAGCGTCGTAAACTCCCCACGTCTGCACCTGCTGGACCTCTACAGCCACTTCCGTGCCCGTCAATGCCTTTCGAGGTTGTAGGTGTTGACCTTTACGGGCCTCTCCCCGTCACATCTGCTGGCAAACGATGGATAGTGACCGCCGTGGACCACCTGACACGATACGCTGAGACTTCCTTTGTTATTACAGGCTCAGCTGTGGAAGTTGCAGACTTTATTCTTCACGCAATAATACTGCGTCATGGGGCTCCTCGTGTACTGCTTAGTGATCGCGGCAAAGTGTTCCTGTCACAAATGGTAAATGAAGTACTCCGCGCTTCTGGAACTACTCACAAGACTGCTTCAAGCTACCACCCTCAGACAAATGGTCTCACAGAAAGATTTCACCGAACCCTTGCAGACATGATAGCCGTTTACGTCCAACCCGACCACAAAAACTGGGATACTCTTTTACCATTCCTGACATTCGCTTACAACACCGCCGTTCAGCGAACAACTTGCTACTCACCGTTTTATCTCGTGTACGGACGCACCCCGACTACCTTTCTCGACGTCTCCTTCTTTAGCAGCCATGGGGATTCGTGTGAGTCTTCTAGCGAAGAATACATTTCCCGCCTGGCCCAGTCTCGCCATCAGGCTCGCATCAATACTGAAGCGAGACAGCACGAGCGGAAGATCACCTATGACGAATCCCACCGCGTTGTGTCTTTCCAACCTGGTGACGAGGTGCTGCTTTTGACACCTATTCGCACTCCTGGTCTCTGTGACAAATTCCAACCACGCTTCATCGGGCCATACATTGTTTTAGAACAGACTTCGCCGGTTAATTATCGTGTGACACCACTCGTCGCCCCAACAGACCGCCGCTACCGCAGCACAGAGATTGTCCACGTTTGTCGCATGAAACCTTTCACGTGACGTTCCCCGTCACTTTGACTTACGGCGGCCAGGGTGTCCGCTTCCAAGGGGGGGGGGGGGGGGGAATTAGTGTGGGCATTTGTTACTTGCATCGTCCTCATCCCTGCATGATCACAATCACCATCATCCGCTTGTCTCTTTGTCCTCATGGCCACTCTGGTTCATCATCATCGTCATCGTCTGTGTACTGGCTCTGCCCGTTCGTTTTGCGAGGTCTTTCCTCAATTAAACGCTGTCGCAACCCAGACTACCAAGACTTCATAATATATATATATATATATATATATATATATATATATATATATATATATATATATATATATAATTGCGCCTATTTCTTTTCACCCATTGATAAGACGAATGAACGTTCCTCCAAAAAAAGAAAAAAGAGCGTGTATGGTACGTAGTGTTATAGATATATATATATATATGTTATTAAAAACGCAAGTGTACTTAGGTGAGTGATCACACTTACGTGCAGCAGGTTGGCAGCCCTGTAGCAATGAGCTTAGCCATGCGGCACTGGCAATGAATGTAATTGGCGTTGCTTGCTTGCATGAGGGCATGGCTGGATATGGTTGAGGGAATCAAGTTCTAAGAAACTGTTCTTAAATATTATTCATCTCTCGAGCCTGTTTCGCCGCAATCGTTGGTGTTAGCAGTGCATGCGGTGATATATGGATGTCTTCTCTGAAAGTAAGTGTGAACTTCAAAGGTGCTTGTGTCATATATAGAAGTCCGTGAATGCTTTTTTCCCCTAACAGCTTGATTGTTTTCTGATATCAAAGTGCATGGTGTTTATTCAGTAGTTAGTATATGAAAGGACGTCAACGTGTAGGCAGCTGGGGCCCTATATTTTTGAAGTTACATAAAAAAAGAAAGTTGATTAGCACATTGCTAAGGTAATCAGACTCTTCTTCATACAGGCATTTTTAGTTTTATGGCTGAAGATACGTAGAGCCATTTTTGGCGCCTGAACTACAGCTTATATTTCAAGGGGATTCCCACACCATGTATTAAAGTAATTTCACGCATGAGTGTTTTTATCTGCACTTTATACAAACTTATCAAAGGAAATTATCTGCACATGAATTTTTCGTACTGTGTGTATTTGAAATATCGGACATTCAACCTATTTTCACTAAAGAAGGCAGAACACATGCTATCACAGACGTCAGCCAAGTATAATATCATGTGCTCTTAATCCTCACGTACCTTCGTAATAATAGCTGTAACGAAATGCGGTTGGTAACACTTTGAGGGCATCAAGTATGCAAATAATTACAAATCCGTCTCTGCATTTCTTTATTGTTATCCCACAACTATAACACATTCCCCCACCCCACCAGCGCTTGATCCACCTAACCAAGAGAAAAGTTTCAGGTTGCTGATTTATAAGAATATGCTTCGAAATCTCCCCAACTTTTTTTGCAATGTCTTTCCTTCCAAGTGTTCGAAAGTTATTGCAGCAATATTTGAGAAATGTTAGAAAAATATTCAATCCGGTTTCGCACTTTAACGTTTTATTTAACTTCACACCCAAAATTTTGCTATTTGCACAGCTCCACTATAGGACGCATTACTTCTTTGGCGTAAACAGCGTGGAAGTTTAGTTCTTCTCGTGATTCTGTAACAGTTAATATACATTAACAAATCTTCCTGCCTACCTGTTTTCCTCATCTCCGTGTCCAGTTTTTTTTTTACTTCACCCCCAGTGTACATTTTACAAGCATAAATAGAAAGTGTGATATTTGACGCGGACGCGCGTATTTGTGTCATAGAAAGCTGTCGAGCTGTCGCCGTTGTGCGGGAGTGTATTTAGAGAAGACAGAAGCAATGACGCCCAAAAAAGAAAAGACAGCGAACGTTTGCCCTATCGTGTACTTATATTTTCGAAAAACGTTTGTGCCTCATGGCCTTATTGCCTCTCAGACCATTACTAAAATGCGCAAAAGCTGCCCGAGCCATTTGATATTAAAGTCCTCACCTAGTAGAGGCGTGGGGACCTGTTGACGGCCGTAGGTAGTTAAGGTGAAAACTTTGCTATTGTTGTGTGCAAACCAGAAGTTATTCATGAAGGCCAACATGATACAGAGCAGCAAGTAAAAGACGCAAAGAACGAAAAAAGACTGAAGGTGACCGCGACATTCTAGACACTGAAATCATGCGTATGACTAACGTAGTTTCCTGCTGTACCTTAGGCTTATAGTTGTAAGTCTACGAGACAGGTTCGGATGACGTCTTGAGGGAATCGATGAGACACTGCGGTTAAACACTCCCACGTGAAGCATCTAACAGGTCAAGATGGCGAGAATGGCCAGTTAGCAAGCACACTCTTCAAGGTCATATGCAGCTCATTCAACAAGAAGATGTTCCGTCGTAGAGTGCAACTTTATTCTAACCAGTTTATACTGCGCTTGTGAAGTGTTCTTTCGTCGGTCTTTATACTTAATATCTTAAGTTGTCATAAGTATAAATTAACAACTTGCCGTATAGTTTATACTTCCAAGTAATTACATTGTTTGACTGCTGTTTGCGGCTGGATATATAATGTACTTCATTTTTACCACAAAAACGTTGGTACTCTTATTTAAGGGACATTTATCTAAATGAGAACACGTCACGCAAATAGTTTCACTATAAAACTACAAAATATTCGGCAGACCCCTCGTACCTGAGAATCAACGTCATGAAAAGCATGCGGAGGGAAGGTGACCGTGTTGCAATTTTTTCATTGAGCGATCCGTCATGAATACACGCTAAATTTATGTACTAATGCTGGACCCACAACATATGTTGAAGAGTTGCAGATTTTTATATAACCAGTTGTTTGCATTGGCGCAACGATGCCAACTAGAACACGCGTATTAGCAACACCAGCAGCTGATATGAAGGACTGATGCTTGCGAGGATGCTGGCCCTGAACATTGCTACATAAATCAAACTCAGCCCGTGGCAACCAAACAGAATTTTCGTGAGCTCGACGTGATGGCTGTATCAAATGAGTACATATGTAATGTTGGGTAAGCAGCATTACAACCGCTATTGACGTTCATGAAGATTAGCGTCTGTTTGAAAAGTAGTCCAAGACCTCACGTAGCTCGGTGGTAAAATGCTTCATTACCACACAGAATGCTTGGGTTCGACTCCAGCTTGGACCCTGACATTCATGATTCGCATTCGTATGGTAGACGCTACCAATGTCGGGTATTTATTAAGGCTCGCAAGTTAAAATTGTCCATGTGTGCTCTCGTCGTTCCTGGGTAGACACTAAGTGTCTATCACCAGTGGCACATACACGCATAAAGCGGCACATCACCGTCCCTGAGTATGTGCCCCTGTTTGGTGGGAAGTATTTGACGACGTACGTGACGGGATTGTGACAGTGCGCATGTCTTGACCAGTGCTTCATATTCGTCAAGCCATATTACCCTACTAAACCATATTAAAAAAGAAAGAGCTTCCATGACACGTGATACCTTATCTTGGATGACCACCGTCTACACTAAAGAGACCGTCACCCAAATACACTGAACGCGATGCTTTTAACAAAATACCCACTCACGATGCCGCTCACCCAGCGCAGTTACCCCTAGAATTTTTCAGTATTTTTTTTCTTCATCACTTTATTCTTTCAGTCTTTGCCGTTCTTTCGCTCCTAATTTTTCGCTCATAATGTTATAAAAACGAGACTGAGCAGCTTGTACCTTCATTTCCGGCGAAGGCCAGACCCTGACCAAAACGGCCGAAATAAATGCTTCCGATGCTTTTGTTTTTACGGAGCATCTCCTTGCCTATTTTCAACAATACGGCCACTTTCGCCGCCATTATGCAGGCTTATTATATATATATATATATATATGTGTGTGTGTGTGTGTGTGTGTGTGTGTGTGTGTAACGTATGTAGCTATGCATGGTTAGGAGAAGTAGAGAAGGAAGAAGTGAGAATAGAATAAACATGGGGTATTAGCCAGGCCACGTCTCCCAGTCATCGTAGCATCACACGAGTCGACAGGATGAAGACTTTGCAACCACTTCATCGCCCGGCCATTATCATCGAAGACCTCAGCGAGACGCAGTGACCAAATGCGGACCACAAAAGAACGCGGACCACCAAGACCACCAAGCATCATGACAGCAGGATCAGACGACCTTGACATTGCTAAGTGCACCGGTTCAGCGGACGACGAACCCGTACAGGCCTGGTTCAACCTGTTCGAGCTCCATGCCACCGCTGCATCATGGTCGGAATGGGAAATGATCACCAACTTCACTGACTACATCTCCGGTGAGGCACTTAAGTTTTACCTGATACACATATTCGAAAACGACGAATCATGGCAAAAGATCAGAGAAGAGATGATTGCCCGTTTTAACGACTACGACAAGGACTTTCTCATTACCGGTCATCTGCATACAACCCCACGCGTCCGTCACAGTCCACGCTTATTTCTCAAGGAACGTAGCTTTCCACCAGGTTTCCCTTCACGAAAGCCGGTATTTTCAAAGTCGTCGCTCCAACACAGGACACGAGACGTTGCTTAGCCACCTCATGCACTTCATTTTTCATCTCGAATACGGGGTTCACCACCCGGTTTTCCATCACGCGGCTCTTCAAGCGTTCCTGACGCTCACCATTTGCCCCATAAGGACACCATGTTCACGATAGACCAGTTGACACACCGAGAAAATACCCAGTCGGGCCATGGTCCATCCGCACGGGTTTATGCATCACCGTCCGGTGCACACACACTCGACAGTCGAAGCAACACCAAAGGGTTAAGCGCATCGAACGTCACACGCTGCCATTCGCAATCGCCTCTCGTGGTGAACAGTGCAGAAAAAGCTTCTGAAGAACTTTCTATCAACTCTGAAGCATCATCTTCATTGCCTGTATTGCATGACAACAGCTCACAGACTACCAGCTGCCGACTGGAGACCCCATCAGGTTGTCATGAAAACCAGCGCGATGTTCAAGAACAGCTTTCACCGCAATACGATCCACAGCAACGTCAGCAACGCCAGCAAAACAAGTCCGTGAATCGCAGACACTCCAACGGACAGACGGACACACCAACAAGGACGACGACGCAAAGCAAGCCTCTTAAAACAAATTCAAAAAGCGAGGCAACTTCGCATAAGTGATCAACGCCAGAAACGCATTTGGCACAAAATATAAAGACTGCGCCTAATATTACAGCTCCCAACCCTCAGGAAACACCGAACAAGACAAAAAGTCACCAGTTCTACCACGCAAAGATTCAGACACCCTCCCATTAGTTTGCGACAACGGAGCCAACGCCACACAAAACTACGAAAGAGACTGAACGTTATAATTTGTACAACGCACGAACATAGACATAATTCCTTGAACTTCAGTTCTTGTACACGCAGGCTGCAAGCACTAAGTCTGTCTCAGCCGCGACACAGAATACAGCGCGTACGACCGAGGATTCAGCACCTGCGACATTCGACCTTCAAATACTTCAAGGACTTACAACCTTGTTCGTTCCTCGCAGGTGCTCAAGTCATGTCACGATCAGTGCAGTTTTGCAAGACGCGGTTACCTTCTCCAGAACGCCACAGCCAACCTTGCCCACCAGAACTCCCCCATTCAATGTACTGCTGCACTCTTT